CCCATTTGTTGTTGTGACATCCGGATCCAGTTTTCCTCTCTATTGTTCCCTCTTTTTAAAACTTATTTAGCGTTCTCTTGATGGTTCTTGAAAGGACTTTGAAGATGCAAGCCAGAGGATGAATGTTGGTACCATTATTGAAGGCCTGAATTATCTTTTTCATCTCACCATTGCTCAGGTTGAAAGACAGTGGGGCTGACATAAAATAATTATAACCTGTTCTCTCTCTCTCTAGCTGAATAGCTCAAAGGGTTTTTCAGTGATTCTTACGACAAATAGTGTCAAGATGGCTAAACGTCTTATCTGAAAACCTGGAAAAAGAAACTCAATTAGTTTATTTTTTTTTATATTAGAGATTTTGTGGGATGGACAATTATCGCATGCGATTTGAACAATTTTGCTGTTACACTCGGTATATATGCATATAGACATTGAATTTTAAATTGTAGTCTTTTCTTTTATTTTTAACTATAGTCACGTTTTATCATAATTATTCAACCTATCAATAAACAGTATCAGCAATGGTGAAACTCAAACTTGCATTATTTTGTCTCATGAAGTCTGCTTGACAGTATCAGCTACACTCGCCGATTTGAACGAAAAGAACTCTTATGCATAGGCGATGATAAAATCTAACCATTTAGATTATCTTTTCTATCTTCTTTCCGACCGTTGTGCATCATATTTTTTTTATTGATTTTACACCAGTGGCAGAATTATTATCATGAATATTATTTCTTTTGAGTCCCACCTTATCCTTTACTTTCCGATCCGAACTGATGGTCTTAGGTTGACGATCGGAAGAGTTGCGATGAAAAGCAAATATAATTAAGATGAAAGAAAATATTAGTCAAAGATGAGATTATATTTTGGTTTATGTATATCCAAATGCGTGACGCATACTTTTATGGTTATGTTAACATATGTCCACTAATATATGTCAGATTCAAAACGATTAGGCAACCTAGTTAATGAATGTATGAATATAGAACTAACCAAGAATGCTTGGGAATGCTTGGTTGTGAGTCCATGGTGCCAGTTAAACATTGGCAACGTCAAAATCAAGCAGAAGCAGAGATTTTGATTGTTAGATAAAATTATCTGTGTAGTATAGTCTCAGGCGACAGAAAATGTAATAGAAAAACCGAAGTCGCGTAGAAATAGAGGGATATGATTATCAGGGATCGAAAATGTAATTAGAAACAAAGTAAAGAATGCTGGATGTAATGTTTAACCAGTTATATAGCAATGCATGTTGGAGAGCTTTGTCAAATAAGAAGAGACTTGAAGCAACCAAGTTATGCCGATTAGTTAGAAATATTTAAAGAGAACATAAGCTACAAAGAAATTATTGCTAACAATATGAAAGAGACAACCAACATAAAGAAGGACGGTTGGAGAATTCAACATCCACTAGGCGCATCAAAGGCAAGAAAAGAAGTGGCAGTTGACAAATTTGAGCAAATTGAAGGAGGAACATGTACAAAAGAATCGTAAAGGAGCAAGTATTGCTGAATACAACAAAAAAGAAAAGGAAGCTGTAGAGAACCATAATCGATCATCTATGCTCTGAAGGGACATACCACATGAAAAGAGATACCCAAACTGATAATGAGCAGATTAAATATTAAATCCCTTTTTAAATTGGAAAGTTTTTAGATTACGGGTACTGAATTTCAATCTATGATTTTCAAACACATTTTTGAAACAGCATAGAGAGCAGGGTTTCTCAGCCGGTGCGCCCGAGTGCACTAATGCACCCTGAAAGGTGCCCTGGTGTGCCCCAAATTAACAGAAGAGTCATTTATCAATTATTTTTATATTCAAAAAATCTTTATTTTTCAAAAGTTAGAGTCACCAAGTACATGGCACCCATGCTCTAAATCAATTGATGTTTCAACTGATGACGTTGGATTATCGTTAACGGAAGAGAAGCTTTTCATTATATCTGCTGATCGTGGCTTACATATCAAGTATAAAGAGGTTTCTATTGATCAATTTTGAATTTCCATTGAATAAGAATATCCTACAAGAGCTAGTAAAGCATTGAATATTGTATTGCAATTTTCCATATCATATTTTCAGTGAATTCTGATTTTCTGCACTTACTAACATTAAATGCAAAAATAGATCAAATACTAAATCAAATATTAAATGCATTGATGAGGAGATGAAAGTATGTTTATCACATATAAGGCCTTCAACAATTGCTAAAGCACAGGTTTCACACAAGCAAACTTATATATACAATATCTTAAAAATAAATGTTTATTTCAGGAGACTTCTTTATTATTTTCCTATTTTCAAATTTCATGACTAATTTTTCCTTGTTAAAATTTAAAGTGTGCCCCAAAGATTTAGTTATTCTACAAGTGTGCCCGGAAGTAAAAATGGTTGAGAAAAACTGCGTTAGAGTAACTGTTTTCATTCATGATCCGTGAATTTCGATTTCCCGATGGTGATCAGACGGCCATTTTTCATTGAATGTTCTTCTATATTGAATATGTGTGAATGAAATATACTTATAAATATAAGAGACGATATTATTTGTGAATGAAATATACTTATCTATATTTGTGAATGAAATATACTTATCTATATTGAAATGTATGACTGAAATCGGTGAGAGATAGGAGGAGATTTATCGTGTACCACACATGATTTTATATTTTAAACATGTCAATGACAGGACTATCGGTAAGATGATAGGACAGGTAGTAGGTGATAAAAAGAGATAGAAAAATATGGTTGTTTTACTAGGATACAGAAATTGCACTTTGGAGCAGTTTGTAGGCTGTTGAAGGCAATGACTGAGAACAGAATTCGCAACATTGACAATGCTTTTGAAAACGAGTTTGTTAACTGTTGTAGTGCAATAAGTACTTCAAGAAGACAGCAAAACAAAGAACCTTTACCTTTAGTAAAATCAACAAAATATCGGCAAAAATTCATACACAATTTATATTTTTTATATATCAATGACAAGGTCATCACTAAGATGGTAAGACGTACGTTGATTTCATATATCGGCCGACATCGAAGAAACTCTAACACCATTGAAAAAATTCAAGTATGAGTAGTAATCAATGCATTCATATACTTCCAAAATTTACTGTTTTTAAGATTTAAATATATTTTCATATGTATTTTCCTTTTATCCATTCTTTGTATAACCAGGTTATGGGTCTTGCTTTAAATTATTAAACAGCATTCAAAATATTTTGCTGAAAATGACCCCCTTTGCCACTTTTCGCACCTAAGTGCCACGGTGCCAAAATGATGGACATTAAATTCTATTCAGGTATTTCATAAATCATATGCTACAAGAGTAAACAAGACAGAGGGCGATTCTGTGTATGTTCCCCTTTAAGAAAATCAATAAAAATTCCAATGAACATGCATGCTTACTCTATTTAAATTTATCTGCTGATTTAAAAAAAAAATTCTCAAATTCAAAATTCTAGCTGAAGATCGAAGGTGGGGATGAAGAACATAAGTTCGGAAATTGTTTCTCTTTAGAAACAACCGCATTATGTCAAACCAAAAGTAGATTTCTTTTATTTCAAACTCTTTTCTGAAGTGAACAGACGACATTTATCCATTTCACCCGTGAAAAGATACGAAATATTTTTCTTCTATAATGGCGCGTAATGGACGAATGACGATTTTTATGATGATTCAATATTTCGTTCTTTCTTTTGAGGAGAAAATAGAGCGTCAAAAGAAAAGTTCTTTAAGTTTCGTAAATAAATGTCAGAAAAAGACGGCGTGCTAAAATGCAAAAGGATTTCAGCTTCTATTTTTACATTATTAAGAAAATCGCTTTTGGATATTTTTTTTTTTATCAAACATAAAAACTCGAAATGTAAATGTAAAGATGCACGCACAGAATTCCTAACAGATTTCCCCTTTAAGCAAAGTTTACGATGAAGTCTGTGTTTAAAAGAAAAGTCAAGTCCCAGTAGATAAAACAAAACTAACGTTGGACAGACTCATACACACACACGCGAGCACACGCGCAAGCACACACAACATAAACACACCCACACAAACACACACCCACACACACACACACACACACACACACACATATATATATATATATATATATATATATATATATATATATATATATATATATATATACACACACATATGCAGACTATCAGACACTTTCAAATCTATCTATCTATCTATCCATCTATCTATCTATCTATCTATCTATCTATCTGATGTGAAATAGTTGTTGCATTTAGTAGATTTCAATATCTATGCAGCGCCTATTTCATTGTTGGAATAGTTGCACGTTGTCATCAGCAATCAGAGTTCAAAACATGGTAAAAGGCCAGTATTCCTAGTCCCGATTTATTAAGCAGGCAATCTGGCAGGCTTTTCAACTTGGCAGATGAGCGAAACAATTTTTTTACTTCACATGTTCTATCACTTGGCCTTCTAGCAGTCAAAGATAGACTTATCTACACCATTTTCAACCACGGTGGATGTCTATAAGGGTAGATTCAATGTATTTGTTTTTTTTTTGTCTCAGTACTGTACGCAAAGTTGATTATTGTCGCTATAATTTGAAAGAGGTCCATGAAAAATGTCCTCATCACCAGCGGCGACACATAATCACCAGGAAAATTGAAATCAAAATCACCTTCATATCGCCTGCAGAAAAAAAGAAAACATACGCAAAAAAAAGAAGAAGAAGAAAAAAGACCAAATTGGAAATCAAACTAAAATTATATTTAAATTTCCAATTTAAAAAGTAACTTGCTTTGTATTCGACTTCGTAATTTGCAGTCGAAAAAATTACTGGTTCTTAAGCAAGTCTATCAATTCGTTGCCGGTAAGGCCAACGCTCGTTATCTTCGACGAGAACGGTAATCCGTTAGCTGGGTTACTTTTTTACAATACACCGTTTTTATTCATTTACTCGAGACGCAGAATGGTGTGAGGAGTCAGGAGTGGAAGAGGTGATGAAACTAGAACGTGTTTCATTATGATAGAAGAGGGAAAGTGAGATAGAAAAAGAAAGAGAAAAAGAAAGAGGGAAAATGAGAAGAAGCACGAGAAAGAAAAAGGGGAAGAAAAAATAAAAAAAGAGAAAACGAAAGATTAGAAAGAAATATAGAGTAAAGTGAAAGATAGAGAAAAAGTAATAGAAAAGAAATAGAGACATAAAAAAGAGAAAAAGGAAAAGAATAAGAGAGAAAAAGAAGGAGAAAAGAAAAGTGAGAAAGAAGAATACGAGAGAGGGAAATGTAAAAGGAAAATTTAAAGCGTAAAAAAGATGAGAAAAAGAAAAAAAGCTAAGAAAAAAGTTATTAAAGGTGAAAGGTGCTTCAGACGAAAGCAAAAGCAAAGAAGAAGAAGGAAAAAAAGAAAGAAGATGAAAGAAAGATATGAAAATAAATGCAAAAGAGAAAATGAACTGAAAAATAAATACCGGTAAAAATGGCTGAGGAAATGAGAAACATGGAGAAAAAAAAAGCAAAGGGAAAAATAAATGAGAAAAATAGAAGAAAATTAGAATAATTATATTGAAAAAGAAAATGAGAAAAAATAAAAACATAAGAAAGTGGAAGGAAAGAAGAAAAGGAGAAAAAGGAAGAAAAATAAAGAGAAAAGAGCAAGGAAATAAGAAAAAAGAAAATACGGAAGAGAAGAAAAGAGTAAAGGAAGAATAAAAGAAAAAGGAAAGAGGAAGAAATGTGGAAAACAAGAAAACAGCAGGAAAGGGAACAAGAAAAGGGACAAAAGAAAACAAAGAAAAGAACAACAAAAGAACAGAAGAAAAAGAAATAAAAGAGCCAGGAAAGAAAAGAAAAGAAACAAAAGAAGAGAAGAAAAAAGGAAAGTAGAGAAAAAGATAAAGAGGACAAAAAGATAAAAAGAAAAAGAGGATAGGAAGGACAAAAGGATGAAAGAAAAGAGGGCGAGAGAAAAAAAAGAAAAGGAAGGTAAAGGGAAGAAAAAGAAAAGAATGGAAGAAAAAAGAAAAGAAAGAAAGAAAATGGGAAAAACCATCACATTAACGAGATTTGCGACGGTATTTGTGAAGGAATATGAAAAAGAAAGAAAGGCATCTGGAAATGATAGAATATGGTAGAAAAGAGAAAGATGAGTGCTGGAAAGACAAGAATAATAAGTTCTAGTAAGTGAATGTGTTTGGAATTGGAAAAAAAATGTAAGACAAGAAACAAAACAAAAAGCACAGAAAACCTAATCTCGAAATCAAAAACACGAAGCTGAAATAGGTTATTAACAATATTACCCCAGAAAAGAAGAAACCATATCGAAATCCACATTCTTCCACATCCAAATTAATTAATGCACCCCCCGCCAATAAGCAAACAAATAAATACTAAAATAAACTGACGAAGGTAAGAAAAAGTAAACTCAGGAATTCATCGTGCCAGTATGTACTGATATTCCGTATAGATTGATAAGATGTGAACGATATTGGACATGTTCGAAAGCGACGAGGTATTGGCTAATCATATTTTTGTTTCCCGAGAGGCATAAACCGTACCCTAAAACTATTGAATAAAATAACAAGTTTTACAGTTCTTTCAGCAAACGACATCAAATGAATGTAAATAATTGTGGTTTCAACATAGTTTTCGCCATAACGCCCTTTTTCGTTTATCCTTTTTTTGAATTTTCAAAGATGAATTCTGACAAGAAAGATGCCAACTGAACCGAAGTTTGTACGTGGATGATCTTATGAAATCTGCCTTGAAGATTTATTCAATTTTAAGGAGTGACATGGTCCCACGGCGAAATCCGAAGGGATAAATCTGCTTTCTATGAAAATAGACGAAAAACATGAAAATGAAATTAAGCTATGTTATAGAATATTCTAAATTAAGATTGCATTTGGAATTCGCAGACGCCTTTCAATCTTGTTGAAAAACTGACGCTTCACTATCTTCCTAAAAAAACTCAACTAAAACATCAGCATATCTTTTAATATGTTTTGTAAAGAATATTTTGGACCCCTTTACTGACTTGTTTGGCCTTTAACAAAGCCTGTATAGACAAAACATTGCTACTCAGATACACACAATACATGCATACATACACCTATATCACACGTACACATCATATATATATATATATATATATATATATATATATATATATATATATATATTTTTATAAAGGTGAACACTGATATTAACACCTAGTCTGTTTGATGCTTGAACGCAATTTTCATGTATCATCAAACATGCAACAGTGTTCGCCGCATTGTCCACTTCTATAATTACAAGCGCTCCATCCTTGATATTGAGCACCTTTCACTTTTACCCAGAAATATAGAATACCTTAAAACAATAAGTTTATCATATATATATATATATATATATATATATATATATATATATATATATATATATATATATAAGGATGTTCCAATAACTTGGACCGATTTTAAATGTGAATTAAGTTTAAGCGTCGAATTATTTTTTCTTTTCTTTCAGATTTGGCAGACATTTGGGCGATATTATTTTTCACACATAATTGCCATGACTTAAATAACATGATCCAATAGAGAAATAAATAAATTTTCATCAATAAAACTTATTTGTCTATGGCTGACTTTGATCCGTCTTAATGAAACACCCTTCATATATATATATATATATATATATATATATGAATAAAGGTAAAAGAAAAATAATTCTTTACCAATGCGTTTCGTCCACAGATGGAGTTTATCAAGCCAAATTTAAACATGTATATTTAAACAGAAATGAAAACCTCATAAGGTTTTCAAGTTTTTCAATTTGAAGAAAGCTGAAAACTATTCTTAAGGCTAACTGTGAAAGTCTGTGTAAATTGTGGACGATGAAATTGATGTCATTTAAAAGCATTTAAAGTTAATTGTTGTTGTTTTATATCTTATTTGTTTGTTTATATATATATATATATATATATATATATATATATATATATATATATATATTTATTTTTTTTATTTTATTTTAATTTGATAAATTATTCATGTATTTATTTAAAATAATAGACGGTTTTGTATTTTGGCTTGGGAAAGTGGTATATCTTTTAGGAAAGGAGATGTTTGATAAGATCCGAGCATAGATTTATATTTTGGCAAGATTCGATGACGCTTTTGTCTAAGTCATTTATTTTCATTTTAATAAGTGCGACATTCTTTAGATCTATATTGTAGTTGAATTTATATAGTTGTGTTCATAATTACGTTCATAATTAAATCCTCGTTCATAATTAAATTCCTCAAGCAAGAAACAGAATATTGTATTATAGGAACGGGAACACAGAGTTGAACCAAGATGAAAAAAGTTTAGTTTTGAGAAAAGCTAAAAGGCTAATAAGCAAGAAAAGTGTATTGACCAGCAAGAAAATATTTAAATCTGATGATAGATATATAGAGATAATAAGATGTAGTATCTTATCTGGCCAATGAAATGAAGGCAAAACAACACAAAGACTAATATCAAAGGCGAAGGAGTAAATGAAAAATAATTTCTAGACTAAGTTTTCGTCATGAAAATGGGAGCACGGTGAATGGCTATGATGACTGAGTAAAAGGTTAGGTTGTGGTGATAGAAAAATAAATAAAAATAGATAAATAAGAATGAGATCGAAATCTCACCATCTTTAAAAGATGTATATTCAGAATTGCCAGGTCACAAAGGCATATTTTGATCAACCAGTTAGAAAGCTTTCACAACCAGCATATAGGAGATATAAGGATATCGAAACGCATCTTTGGGTATATATGTATAACAAGATTGAAAATCAACCTAAATCAGAATCGATGAATTAATTTTATTAAATGTTGCAGTTATCGTAACATACCCAGAGCCGAAATACGACACTTGCGTGATTCACTGGTGACTTTAGAAGGTTACACTACACTGATACATTTAAAAGCATATATCTTTTCTTTCACCCTCATTTTTAAGCCGGTCACTATTACATTTGGATACATACATGCATACATACATATGGATAATAACGACAAAAGGAAAACTTATCTTGGTTGAGGTGTTTTGTCTTCTGTTGGACTTTATCAAGGATGTAAGGATTTTATTTTGCAACATGTATTTATAAAAAAAAAGTAAAAATTTCATCAAGCGAATTGAAAAAGTCTTGGTCAATTATGCCGGATGATAAGTGATGTAATTTATTGTCTAATAAGAAAAAAAATCTATTTTTTTAAAATAATATAATTAATATTTATATTATTTTAGTTTGTGATTAATTTATGTATTATATATTTTAAATAACAGTAGGTTATGAATTTAACCGTTTTTTAATTTCTTAACATTTTTATCATCATTTCTGTTTGGCTTGAGAAATGAGTAATTCTTTCAGGAACGGATTTATTTAGAAAAATCCTGGGGACAGATTTATATTTTGATTATTAAGTTTCGATAGCGGCATTCTTAAGAACTTTCCATCTAAGTAAGTAACTTTCTATTTTAATAAGTGTTGAATTCATTAAGTTGTTGTTGAATTTATTTGTTTGTATGACAAATGCATTTAATGAATTATTGTGTATAAGGTTCCTTTTGTGTTCATAGATACGTGTTTTTTTAAATTTGTGCAAGTTTTCCCAATGTATTGTAAGTAACAGTTGTGACAGTTTATTTTATATATACCGGCTTCAGAATTATTATTCTTGTGATTGTTTTTGGTTCTGATCATAACCATAACAATGTTTTGAATGTGGTTGTAAGTATTTTGAAATTCTTAAGATTGGATAAATCATTTTGGATAGTAGATACATACATACATATATACATATATATTTACTTTCTCCTGGAAAATCTCTTTCTTTCTCTCACTCTCCGTTTTGTATACGCCAGGTCATTTACATTTGAATTCTTGAACCTTCAGCTTTCACTTTATCTTGCTGTATATGTATATTGTGTTATATAAAATGTTATTTTCAATCTATCTATCTATCTATCTATCTATCTATCTATCTATCTATCTATCTATCTATCTATCTATCTATCCCCTTCATTACACCACCCGCACATCGACAACCACTTTCTTTGATTCGTTTAGAAACAGAAATATGATTATTTAACAAACAAATAAACATTTTGAAAGAAAACCATGCATAATTGTTTTTGTTTCAAAGTTTGTATTTAATGAAAATTGCGGTCTGAGGAGCATAGAGCTTCAATCAAATGAGACAGAATTATATTAAAACCGCCAGTTTTAGAAAGTCTTTCGGCAAAAAAAGACTGGCTAAGTGTAAAATTCCTTTGCCTTTTGTCAAAGTCTGTCGCTCGATAGGTGGGTGACACATCAAAAACGAATTTGCGTCAAGTTTAAGGCTAAACAAGCCGGCCGTATTGATTCACATGCTGACAGATAATTTCGCCTTGTGTGTTCACTCGGTCGCTGCTAGACTCGATAAAGAAGAAACGCATTCTTCTGATATGTTTATATAAAAATCTTTGATCTCTTTCCACTGTTTGATGCGACTGTTTCTTTCGCAAAAAAAAAAAAAAAAATAACAAAAAAAAAAGAAAAAACTAAAAAAACCTAGCATTGATCCGTGAAGCACCGAGAATTAGCAAAGTGTATTGATATTCAGAGATGAAAAAGAAGATAACCCCTAAAAATGTAAATAAAAGGAACTTAAAAGAGATGCAGATAGGCAGACAAATCAATAACGAGACTGATTTATCCATCTCTCGGTATCGATAGGAATATAACCACTGCGCTAAATTTGCATTGCGAACGGACCCTTTCTTTTTAACTTGTTCAACGGTTAGGCTAATGAACTGGAAACTAGGTGATCAGAGGTCTCTTCATAATTGGTATTTTCTGTAATTATTAAGCGGATTAAAGTAGCAGGTTGGGAAGTGAATGATCAGAGGTTCCATTGTAGTTTGTGATTTTAAGTCTAAGTGTAAGTTACTAAGAAAAGAGAGATTCGGGCGTAACTTGAGATTTAAACCTTACATATTATTTGTGTACATTTTTTTCCGTTTTCAAAGCATGCGTATCCTGTACACGATGTACAGAGAGAGCAAGAAGAAAGCAAGAAGATGAGCAAAAGAAAAGGAGTGATTGGGAGAGTTAATTCTCTCTCTCTCTCTCTCTCTCTCTCTCTCTCTCTCTATCTATCTATCTATCTATCCATCTTAGTCTGTTCATTACATCACCCGAACATCCACAATATGCAGGTGGTTTAATGGATAGTGGCTCGGAATGAGAAATTGGAGAGCCGAGTTCGAATTCTGGTCGAGCTCATTACATTTACTTATGCGCAAATAACTTTTCTA